TCATCTCAATCCGTCTCCTAGCATGTGCGTGCTTGTTGGCATTATGGAGGCTTGAAACAATATTATTTTTTTTCTAATACATTGTCAACAATATAAACCACGCTGTGAAACCCCAAATATGACCAACCTCAAATATTTTCTGTCTTATGTTGATTCAAGCTCTCTCAAATCTGTATAAATATAGTCCCACATAGATATTCAAATTAATGCCATTTGCTCATGCAATTGAAATGTTGGTGTTACCTGAACTTGCTATGATACCTTGACATGATAGATGTCAATAAATTAGTTACACGTATCAACACAGTCGCCATCCAAGGCATAATCATTATTATAATACTGATCTTGATTCCCTCAAGGAATAATTAAATGGAAATCTAAAGAACGAAAACTGAAGTTTATTCAGAAAAAAAGCATCTTAAATAAAAATGACTCATTTTGTAGTGATGCTTACTATGGTTGCATTAAGTTAGCAAGTGGATCATTTTCGAGATTCTGGCTTACAAATCTCAAGAAATCACATTATGCCAATAACTAAGAACAATGTGAACATTTGGTGTAACCTCCGCCGACTGCACTAACATCACTTGATATTTGCTTAATGACAGCTACACGTATTCCACGTGATGCTCTATAATAATCAATGTATAGTGCGCCCGAATGGTCTAAATAATCATACAAACATAATTATAATATCAACATAAATGACCATATGTGGGTGAAAAATCATATCCGTTGCAATACCTTTTTTCATGTGTATATGTGTACATTGTGAATAAAGAGTTCATAATTGTTCACGATTTCTAAAGATGTGTTTTTAGGTGTGAGTGGCCATTTTTAGTCGGATCTTTGTATTAAAACAATCTGGATACCAAAACCAATTAAGCTGATATTTGGCCCCTTGATGTACCCAAATTCGTCGTTCATTTCCAATGTTCAAATAAGGCCGCAACGGCAGCCTTTATTGACAAACCTTGTGACCATTATTTGTAAGGCAACAGAATCATTTTTGGAACATTTGAAAATTTGACCTTTCACGTTGACAATGCTTCTAATGTAATTAACTTACAAACAGCGGCTCCTCCAAAACATCAGGTACCACTGGAGGCCATGTTGCCTGATCCTCTCTCTACCTCCATTCTTGCAACAGGTATCATTTTGAGCCAAAACAGATGATTAGTGTTTGGGCCATATCCATTATTAATTGAAGGAATCTGTCCTTATATGTGTCTGCTTGTAGTCAAGACATAATCTTTCAGACCAATTTGCAGGTACCAAGGTACTGTGCGGACACAACACTGCAGCTTTGCGTAACCGAAACATACAACTTTGTAAAAAAATCATCGGCGTTGCTTAACGGGTTTTTTAGGGGTACTTATCAATATAACTATATCTTGAACATATTTTCACACATTTACCTCTATCTCTCACCTATGACTGATCAGCAATTTTCAGCTTAGAGATCGTAAGTACGTTGCAGACAGTTTCAAGTTTTTTCGATTGTGCACAAACATTCTCTCTAAATTCATATTTCGCCTCTATGAACTTTGTGTCTGAAATTCTCAGACTTTGGGAGCTGTGTATATTCCTTATAATGGTGATGTCATGATTTCCAGTTCATCATATACTCATGCCAATAATGGTGGTCACCCCCTCCCCACCCCAACCCCACACCTACCTCACACCCCACCCCACACCCCTCTCCAATTAAAAAAATTGAAGGGGGTGACAACCATTATTGGCATGAGTATATCTTATTGCTTTTATGCAGAACAATGTTAAGTCTCTGTCTGAGTTAGCATGTTAACATGTTGACCACGTGTCCAGGCTAGACACCTTGCTGTGGCAGTAATTTCGATTTGTTTAACATGGAAAACTTCAAACCTGCCTTTCATGTACATAATATCTACCAAAGCATTGATAACAGTTAATGCAACAATCAGTCCAAAGTCCCGCCAAAGCAATGACTCAAACTGCAGAACATGACATGGACACTTACCTGTGAAGATCACCACAAGGAAGATGAAGACGTGCATCTTTCCCCGACGTTCACACTGCGCGAAACCCACTTGCTGCATCATTTGTTAGATGGGCAATTCTGACATGGTCTTGTGATCAGTCCTGAATATATGGTCGCTCCAACTGTGCAAAGATCAGCATATCACGGACATTGTCCTTTGATCATTTGTCCAGACATAATGTGGTTGTTGCATGTAAATGACATATTTTGATATTGATATAACACTGGAGCTACTGGTCTATTGATTATGCTTTTACACAGAATACATGTAATACATGACACGCCATCATTGCCTTCGAGCAATAATTAAGGGCAGAGTTCCTTACATTTTGTTCTACCAAATCTTGAAAAAAACATGAACCAGTCTGCAAAGTACTTACTGTCTCCAAGCTGAATTTAGCTGCTTGGTGAGAGGGAGTTGTAAATGTGTGAAAATATGTTCAAGATATAGTTATATATTGATAAGTACCCCTGGAAAAAACGCTAAGCACCCCCGGTAATTTTTACAAAGTTGTGTGTTTTCGCTTCGCTAATTTGCAGTGTTGTGTCCGCACTGTATCTTGGTACCTGCATATTGTTCTGTAAGATTATGTCTTGACTACAAGCAAACACAAAAAAGGACAGATTCCTTCAATTAATAATGGATATGACCCAAACGCCAATCATCTGTCTTCACTCAGAATGATACCTGTTGCCAGTATGGAGGTAGAGAAAGGATCAGGCAACATGGCGGGTATGAGATGAGACAATAACGGATATTTGTAATCTTGGAATGTTGTACAATCAATATCTAGTGCACCCTCCACGTGCTGTCTGGGTCCTATGTCGCACACCCACCGTCAGTCGTCGTACCCGTCGCAGAGGAAACAGCTGTCGCCATACTTGGTGCAACGCTACTTCCAACTCATGCAGACTTTGAACAGGTGGTACACGTGCTTGTATTGTCACGACTGACAAGTCAGGCCTCAAGACTGACAGGTCAAGCCTCACTACCGACAGTGTAAGACTCACGACTGACAGATCAAGACTCACGACTGACAAATCAAAACTCACGACTGACAGATCAAAACTCACGACTCATGTTGAGCCTTTCTGTTCACAACTCCCGTCTCACGACTCATAGCTCATGAATGCACAGAGCCAAATATGACATATGTTTCATAGCTCATGAATGCACAATGCCAAATATTTGAAATGTTTCATAGCTCATGAATGCACAATGCCAAATGTTAGACATGCTTCATAGCTCATGAATGCACAGAGCCAAATATGACATATGTTTCATAGCTCATCAATGCACAATGCCAAATATTTAAAAATGTTTCATAGCTCATGAATGTACAATGTCAAATATTTGAAATGTTTCATAGCTCATGAATGCACAATGCCAAATATTAGACATGCTTCATAGCTTATGAATGCACAATGCCAAATATTTGAAATGTTTCACAGCTCATTAATGCACAATGCCAAATATTAGACATGCTTCACAGCTCATGAATGCACAGAGCCAAATATGACATGTTTCATAGCTCATGAATGCACAATGCCAAATATTTGAAATGTTTCATAGCTCATGAATGCACAATGCCAAATATTAGACATGCTTCATAGCTCATGAATGCACAGAGCCAAATATGACATATGTTTCATAGCTCATGAATGCACAATGCCAAATATTTGAAATGTTTCATAGCTCATGAATGCACAATGCCAAATATTAGACATGGTTCATAGCTCATGATTGCACAGTGCCAAATATTGCATATGTTTCATAGCTGATGAATGCACAATGCCAACTATTACGTATATTTCATTGATAGCTCATTAATGTACAATGCAAATAATTACATATATTCTATAGCTCACGCGCAATGCCAACTATTACATATATTTCATAGCTCATGAATGCACAATACCAATAATTGCATGTATTCCATAGCTCATGAATGCACAATGCCAAATATTGCTTATATTTCATAGCTCATGAATGCACGGTGCCAAATATGACATATGTTTCATAGCTCATGACTAAAAGCGGCGTAAAACCAAACTCATTCGTTCATTCACTCAAATACTAGTATTATATATCATCTGTCATATCTTACTGTCTTTGTTGTCGTCAGTTTCAATATTAGGTTTTATGTATAATTTGGTCATATCACGATATGGCTGAAATTTTGTCGATGTGACTTTGTTTTGACTCAATCACTCACGTCAGTTGGGACGAACTGAGTACAACATTAATATCGCCGAAGAACCCACATTGGTACAACGTGCGAAGCCCTTTCTGGTGATATTGCTGGAATATTGCTAAAAGCGGCATAAAACTAAACTCACTCACTGTGACGTTTATATAAGTGTAAGCTATATTTTGTGGGTAAAAGTATCTCAGACACTCAGATCACACCTCATCTCATAACAGTTATAAGGGCAGTGGGGTAGCCTTGTGGTTAAAGTGTTTGCTCTTCACGCAAAAGACCCGGGTTCGATTCCCCACATGTTTTCTATATGGGAAGCCCGTTACGCGGGACCAAGTTTAAACTGGCGTCTGAGCCGGGATGCGATGACGTGTAGCGGGTACCATTGTGCTAAACACGCCTCAGTAATGACACAACACACAAATGGGTAAGACTTCCGGCCCAATCCCCAATTTTAACGATGAGGAACAATTTCTTTGAGTGGCATGTTTAGAAGTTGGAACTTGGATATGTCTTTCGATATACATGTATTCAGATACAATGTAAAGAAACATGTTAAAACTCATCCTTATCAGATGAGGAATATATATTCAGGTGATATGATTTGACTAGAATGATACTTAAGGGGGGATACGGGCGGAAGTCTTTCCCACAAATGTACCAGTAATACGATTCGTTTGTGAAAACGTCATGTGAACAGACGAAAATGTCCTCGGATAAACAACGTAAGGCCGCCAGTCTCACATATTGACATTTCAGCAGACCACTAACGACCTTGACCTACTGGTTTGACCCATAGCTTGTGAGATCCATGCTTGCTATCGCGGCTGCCAAATCCGTTGTCCCTCGACTGGTCACCAGATTGACACACTGCCGCCTTGTCTCTAAGATGACAGGTAAAAGACTAATTGTATTTCTTGTTCGATGCAGTGATTGCACAGCGATGTAGGGGCACTTTATCGACAGAGACGGTAGAAGTGGGACATGTGTACACAGCACATATCGATCGGGTGCTCCACATACGAGGGTCCATGTGTGAGTCGGTTTGCTTAATCTCTTGACTTGATTACATAGTGTAATATGTTTACGATGTGGTCTCAATTAATATGCAGCTCATTTAAGTTATTTATATATGATGTGGGCCATAAGGTTGTATTGCCTGAGCGGTTAAAATTGTGTTGTGGTAGTAGCTGTAATATTTGCAAACAGGTAACGTCTTTTCTATGTATTTCTCTCTAGCTGCAATACGGTGTATCTTTTGCACATGGCAAGACAAGGATAGTTGAGGTGGACGCGCACTCAATGGAAAATGTTCACGCTGTGGTGCAATAGCTGGGTGAAGTAGCGAGTTGTCTCCCTTAGACAAGCTGAGTTTATCTGTCAACACACAAACACAATATTTATATGACACATCGCACTGACACTCATAGACTAAGGCTTAGTCTCTGAATATATATAATTTTGATAGTAACAAACAAGCCCATTTATATTGAAAAGGAGCCCCAGGGAGACTAGAGATTCAGAACCTGAGGAAATCTAGACTTGCTTTATTTAGGGCTTTAGCACTGCAGGGAGGGCTTGGCAGTAGGGAAAATATTGTGGTTCAGGGACTGTGAGACAGACTATGACACTCACTGCGAGCTTGTGTGGGAGCAGCCTGGTGTGGGAGAGGGTAGGGGTGCAGATTGGGGAACATCACTCAGATACGGAGGCACAGACATGCACGCACACGCACACGCAGACACCTTTTTCACGACATGTCAACCTGTTTCAGTCTCACAATCAGGTTGGGGTTAATTCGTCTCATGATTGGCTAGAGAAGTGTAAAATTTCGCCGAAACCATATCATGTCAGTAGCATTAAATATGGCGGTACATAAAATGATAAGTGGAAATAATTAATTGACATGTATCATGATGGAGGGAAGAAAAGGTTTGTAGGCCAGGGACGACTGCATTTTTTTGTTTAAGGGTACAATTCCTCTTCATGTGTCACCACCAGCGTCAGATTACAAGAGTGAAGTCCATTTCTGGTGTCCCCGCCGTGATGTTGCTGGAGTATTGATAGAAGCAACGTAAAATTAACCTCATTCACTCACGTGGGGTTCCTTGTTACATAATAGCCATAGTCAGCGGCCATTTTGACCACCAAATCATCGATGTAACAATATACCCCACGTTTATACTTCGAAATCCTAGAATACAATACTGGCTGTGTGCATAGAGCTCACGTCACAAATCAGTTGAAGTTGGGCACGGTGAGACTTGGGTGGGTGACCGTGTTTGGCAGCATGACTCTTGCGGGTGTCTAGGACTTCAGTCCTGCCCCACAAGGAAGCACACGCGATACATGTGGTCTCACCTTAAGCAAGTGAGTTTGTTCAAAATTGCCATTTTGACCACAAAATCATCGATGTAACAATATACCCCGCGTTTATACTTCGAAATCCTAGAATACAATACTGGCTGTGTGCAAAGAGCTCACGTCACAAATCAGTTGAAGTTGGGCACGGAGAGACTTGGATGGGTGACCGTGTTTGGCAGCTTAACTCCTGAGAATTTCTAGGACTTCAGTCCTGCCCCACAAGGAAGCACACTAAATACATGTGGTCTCACCTTAGGCAAGTGAGTTTGTTCAAAATAGCCTCTGTCCACCCAGCAGAAAATGGGTACTCGGTAGTCATGTGACTATTAACCTTCTAGCGCCTCACAGACAGCTTGGCTTATCCGAGGTAGTAATGTCCGCGCTTTGAGCATGCACTAATGTGTGGATTATATAGCACACAGCAAATAGCCGTTATTATTATTATTTAACACTTACTGCAAACTTTCCGATGGTTTCAGAACAGACTGCTCTTCACGACGACATTAAGCCGTTGGCGTGGTTGTTGGGGAGATGGAGGGGAGACAACGGCGTCGGTATATTCCCCACCATCAAGGACTTCAACTACGGCGAGGAGCTGTATTTCTATCACACTGGACAGCACTACATCCACTTTCAGTAAGATCCAAACTAAGTTCCCTGCAAATCCATGAGTGAGTGAGTTTAATTTTACTCCGCACTCAGCAATATTCCAGCTATATGGCGGTCTGTAAGTAATAGAGTCTGGACCAGACAATCCAGAGATCAACAGCATGAGCACCGATCTACGCAGTTGGGAACCGATGACATGTGTCAACCAAGTCAGTGAGCCTGACCACCCGATCCCGTTAGTCGCCTCTTACGACAAGCATGGGTTACTGAAGACCAATTCTAATTAGGATCTTCACGTGTTGTAGTTTAGAGCAGCGGCGAGGTAGCGTAGTTGTTAAAGCGTTCGCTCGTCACACCGTCACCAAGGTTCGATTCCCCACGTGAGTACAGTGTGTGAATGTTGCTGCAATAAAACTAGAACTCGCTCACTCACCCACATAGCTGCAATATGGATGAGTGCGTGGTTAAACAACAACCAAAACAAACCACTCACAAGTATCTGTTGATTCGTATTTCAGCTTCATTTTTCAGTTGGGATTTCTTAAGTATTTAGCCCATTTCATTGTTTTGCACAGGTCAGATTTCTGATTATTTGAAAAATATTGATCTTCAGCTGCCTATACAGTTTCACCAATGTTTATTTAAGTAGATGTATAACTACAGAATGGTTTTTAATTGTAGTCATTGCTCCAGAAGATATTGTTTAATTTATTTAGGTTTGTACAAGGGTAATTATTGCTGACTTGGTTACAGTCTGTAATCATTTGTTTGTTTGTTGTAATACGCCGCACTCCTTATACGACGGCGATCCGTTAATATGCAATGCTGGACCAGACAATCCAGTGACTGTCCTCAAGAGCATCACACTACGCCGCTGGAATACGACGTCAACCACGCCTGCGAGCTTTACCACCCTCTCTAGTCAGGCGCCTATCATAAATGCATAAGGGACGGTTGGGTAGCCTGGTGGTTAAAGCGTTCGCTCGTCACGCCGAAGGCTCGGGTTCGATTCCCCACATGAGTACAATGTGTGAAGCCCATTTCTGGTGTCCCCTTCCATGATATTTCTGGAATATTGCTAAAAGCGGCGTAAAACCCAACTCACTCAATCACTAATCGCGTAGATCGCATGATATTGATCACTGAATTGTCTGGTCCAGACTCGATTATTTACAAACCGACACAATATAGCTGGAAAATTCTTGAGTGCGACGTTAAATTATGAAGAAACAAACAAACAATCCAGTTCTAACTCTGATCTTCACTGATGTGTTATGATCATTTATTTGGGATCAGACTTGTGTTCGGTATCACTGGTGCTTTGTGCTATATATCCGCGTCATATACATCTATGTAATATAAAATTCCGTTCCACAGAACACGCTCCTGGGATGCGGGGACAAAGAAACCTTTGCATGGAGAATCAGGTTTTATTCGACGACAGTCAGACACAAACCGCGTCGCCATCACTATTGCAACGAATATAGGTAACATCTCTTAACACGTCCCATCCTCTATAATCCAGTGTGTTGTTAGGTCACGTGTGTCAGAATCCTTTGTTAATAGGTTCGAATCCCTGAGTCGTTACTAGTTTTGGAACAGTACCGCTTCAATTTTCCTAGCAATATTACACTGACACGCTTTATACATGTTTAACTGAAGACCCGTGATGATCCGGGTTAGAATTTATCTTCAGTAACCCATGCTTGTCGTAAGAGGCGACTAACGGGATCGGGTGGTCAGGCTCGCTGCCATCCTATTCCAATAGCGGAGATCGATGCACTTGGATTGTCGATCACTGGGTTGTCTGGCCCAGACTCGATCATTTTCAGACCGCTGCCATACAGCTGTAATATTGCTGAGTGCGGCGTAAAACTAATCTCACTCACTTTGACTGAAAAATTGTTCAATTCAGTCGGACACCTTTCCTAAAACAGCATTCTATGTAAGTTGAAAAAAATCGTGAACCGATTCGTTTCAAGGCGTCATGTGATGATCATGCCCATGCATTCGTCGTGTAGTTACTCGAAACGAAGCTGTGTACCTTACTCCTAATGGGTTCAGTGCATTTGTTAACAGCATTTGTTAACAGAAATATAACAATTATATGATGTATTTCAGCAACATAACACATCCTGATCAATGCGCCTGGTATAATTTACACAACGGGAGCTGTGCGACTTCATGATCTCATACACATAGGATAATGTACGATTACGACGGGACCTCTGTCAGCAATCTTTCAGTGGACTCTAGCTCTGTCTGCGGTTTAAAACTAAACTCACTCACTCACTCTAACTGTGTCAGCAATCTTTCAGCAATACTATACCTGTCAGCTTACTTCAGCAATACCATACACCAACCATCTTCCAAAACTGTAACTCTATCGGCAATCTTTCAGCAGTACTATACCTCCGTTGACTATACTTCAGCAATACCACGCCTATATATAACACATTCAATAACACCATACCAATATCGGCAATATATACTGAACCACAAAAGAAACGTCGCTTTTCAAAACCAAATGCAAGATTTGGAAAGGAACCAAGTCGTGGGACGGTTGCAAGTTGTCCAGAGTGCACGGAGGGTAGCCAATCATTTTAATGTTCATGTTAGGACAGCAGGAGTGGTGTCAGGATTCAAGACCGTCCACGCAGTGGGCGACCTTCAGTATCATCACAACGTCAAGAATGGCAGGCTGTGCGCCACCATCTGCAGGATCGCTTCCCCAAAGCGACGGAAACAGCATGGCAGACAACTAGGACTCACAACAGACCCATCAGTGTCGATACAGTGCGTGGACATCTGCGCGGAAGAAACCTCTACTGTCACAGATCATATCGTAGTCCTGTCCTCACCGCTCATCACCGCCAAAACCGACCAAAATTGACAACTCAGCATCGAAATTGGCGTTATCGACAATGGAGAACTGTGCTGTTATCTCATGAAAGCCGATATTGTGTTTCGACAGTCGATGGCAGAGTGAGAGTATGGTGAGGGCGTGGTGAAATGTTTTCCAATGAGTGTATTGTTGAAAGAGACTCGTGGGGTGGTCCAAGCATCATAGTGTGGGGTGCAATCGGTCTGAACCAGTTAGTTAATACCGTGGAGTTCCCGAATCTTGTTCCAGGATGACGAAATGACATGACAGCTGCTCGCTATATTGATTAAGTCATAAGACCCCACGTTGTACCACATTTTGGACGTTACAGAAATCACATCTTTCAGCAAGACAACGGTAGTGCCCACACTGCCTGAGCAACATTGGACTTCCTAAGATAGCATGGCATCCAAACCCTACAAAATCTTGCACTCAGTCCGAATTTAAATCCAGTTGAACATCTTTGGGACAAGATTCAAAGAAGACTGAATGGCATCCAACCAAGGCCGACAAATACGGCTGGACTCGATCAGGCATTTCGCAGAGTATGGACCCAAGTGCCTATGGCCTTCATCGACCGGCTAATTCATTCCATGTACAGACGATGCAACGATTTCATCGATGCCCATAGAGGCCACACACGATACTGACTTCTGGGTATCTTAATGGTACCATTTTTGGTGATTTTGTTTGTGTGAACTCTAAATGTGTTTCCCGAAAATGTGTTAACCATGATTGTCAAGTTTGAACTCAGTCCTCCGTTTTGATTGTTAATTAGAGTGAATTAAAGTGTGTGCTTTAAGAAACCACTATCAGTGCGACATTTCTTTTGTGGTTCAGTATATATGAGATATATATCTATCGTATTATATAACTTCACTGCTATTCTGTTTGTGCTTTGGGTTTACTATAACAGGGGGCGGTGGGGTAGCCTAGTGGTTAAGGCGTTAGCTCGTCACGCCGAAGACCCGGGTTCGATTCGCCACATGGGCACAATGTGTGAATCCCATTTCTGGTGTCCCCCGCCGTGATATTGTTGGAATATTGCTAAAAGCGACGTTGAATTAAACACACTCACTCACTCACTACTATAAAAGACTTTGCAAGGGTAACTGGTGCGGGAAACTAAATACATATTCAGAAGAAAAACAATTTAAAACAACCATTGGCCAGACCTTTTAAAATGAAACTGATTATGCATGCACGATGCCTTTTAAAAAAGAATTACAAATTCTAATACTTTTGGGGGGTTGGGTCCCATTTCGGTTTGTGCAGGTTCTCAGATTGAGGCACCTAAATCGCCGATCTAACCGACCCAGCCAGCGCCATTTGGACAGAACCCGAAATAGCACCGGAATCTGTACTTTACTGAGAAAATGTAACACTGAATATAACATTTGCTACATAAAACCGATTGCTTCAAACAAAATATATTATTTATGCAATCGGTTTATCTCCCATTTTTGATACCAATACTATTTTTTCGACAGCAAGAAATTAAACACACAACTAGTTGGTGCTGTGAACATTACACACATCATGCAAATCCAGGTTTCAGTGAACTTGAAGAAGGGGAGCTAAATGGTGAAGAGCTGAATGTGGAGTCTCGAACTATAGGTGGCATGAGCTTCTTCCGGTTGACGCCAGCAACAAAGGTGAGAAGTGAAGACGACCTGACGTAAAGGGGCTCTTGAAATACAAATGTTATTCTGGTGAAAATAACAACAAAATAGCTTATCCATGTCTTGTCATAGCGAATTCATTACCAACATCTTTTCCCGGTCAAAGGCAACATGACATGCCCTGAAACACGGGCAGTGTAACAGTTCCTTTAACAATGTCAATATAATAATAATTCATTTATGATAATAATTCATTTTTATGGCGCCTAGTATCCATCTGTCTCGTTGCTCGCTGGCGCATGTGTAGGAGTTTGAGGGGAAAATGTCAAATATTGTAAGTAGTTCTGAACAGAAGGGTTTTGATTTGGCATTATGAAGTGGATTCACACATGTGGCTTTGAGTTCTGATGGTAAAGTGTTCCATAATTGAGAGGCAGCAATGGAGACGGCTCAGCCACCGATTTTGCTTGTGGATACTGGTTGGGACAAGAGTACCTGATCAGAGGAGCGTAGAGGTCTCCATGGCTTGTAGACCCTGATGAGCTCTTTCAGGTAGAGAGGGCTGTACACACGATTTGCTGTTTGGGGTAGAGAGGGTTGATTTCCATGTTGAGGACTCAATATCGGGCGTGACCACCATTTGCATTGGCGCTGGAGAGACAGGGGCGGCACACTGATATACCAGATAACTGGAAACTTGCCCTAGTAGGGATACGGGTTAGTTTCGGTCTTGTCGTGGGGATCCCATCCCATCCCATCCCATCCCATCTACCGTGGGAGAAAGGTCGGAAGGAACAGCCAGCCATGGTGCTGCAAATATGGGGGCTCACATGGTCCCTGCATGTGCAATATATTCGTACTACCAAAGTGATGATGAGTTCTGTTATTTGGGGTTCACTATCCTGTATTATATTTGGTATTGGAAGTTGTTATTTGGTAGTAGTTGTGGAAGTGATAGTGATGGTGATGATGGTCGTGTGGTGAGTGTAGGAAGTGGAATTGGTTTGTTTGAATGTTGTTTCACGCCGCATTCAGCAATATAAATAATCGTCTGTAAATAATCGAGTCTGGACCAGACAATCCACTGATTGACATCATGAGCATCGATCTACGCAATTGGGATACGCTGACATGTGTCAACCAAGTAAGCGAGCCCGACCACCAGATCCCGTCAGTTTACTCTTACGACAAGCATGGGCTGCTTAAGACGATTTTTACCTCATTCTTCATAAGCTGAAGCGGAAGCAGTTGGGTAGAAGTGGTAGCAGTTGTTGTAGTGCTAGTGGTGATGGTAGCAGTTCTTGTGGAGGTAATTGCAGTAGTAGTGGAAGTGATACTGGAAGGGGCAGTGGTCGTGGTCGTGGTAATTTACGACAGTGGTCGTGGTAGTGGTAGTGGTAATGGTCGTAGTCGTTTTCCTGGTCGTGGTAGTGGTAGTAATCGTGTAATGGTAGTAGTTGTGGCAGTGGTCGTGGCAGTGGTCCTGTTCGTGGTCGTGGTCGTGGTCGTGGCAGTGGTAGTGGTAGTTATCGTGTAATGGTAGTAGTCGTGGCAGTGGTCGTGGTCGTGGTCGTGGCTCTGGTAGTGGTCGTGGTCATGGCAGTAGTCCTCGTCGTGGCAGTGGTAGTGGTCGTGATCGTGGCAGGGTAGTTGCAGTGGTCGTGGCAGTGGTCGTGGTCATGGTCGTGGTCATGGTAATGGTCTTGGTAGTGGTAGTGGTAGTGGTCGTGGCAGTGGTCGTGGTCATGGTCGTGGTCATGGTAATGGTCTTGGCAGTGGTAGAGGTAGTGGTCGTGGCAGTGGTCGTGGTAATGGTCGTGGTCGTGGTAGTGGTCTCGTGGTAGTGGTCGTGGTCGTGGCAGTGGTCGTGGTCGTGGCGGTGGTAGTGGTCATGGTCGTGGTAGTGGAAATGGTGGTAGAAGCTGTTAATGTAGGATGATTACCAGCAGCTGTTATATTTGCTCCAGATTAAACGTCTCATTCGACGTGACGGGGACAGCCTGGAGCAGACGTTGTGGATGGCAACGGAAAAGACGCCCCTGACGCAGCACCTGAACATCCGTTACTCCAGGATACAAGAGGATGCCGCCGAACTGAAGAGCGTGCTGTGACCTAGCTAGAGTCACAGTTCAGAACCACACGCGTCTATTACATGCTTAAACACACTGAACCACTGTGATAGCGTAAAGGCTCTTTTTCGTCTTTTAGATTGGTTGTATGGGTTGTAAGAACCAAAGCTGAATGGAAGTCATTTAATTGGATATGTATGTTTATTCAGATTGGCTGTGCATGTATTTGTACAAATTAATTTAATTAGCATGCATATGATTTGTGTGTAATCAAGGTCATCTCTTTATGAAAGGCGTTTCAAGCAAATACAGTTTTCATTTAACTTCGAAGCAGATGCTGTAAATTGAAAATGTGTTCTTAGAATTGAGAAACGAAAAGCATGTCCTGTGACCAGCCCGCAATCAAAGTCCAGGATTGTAGACTTGAGACACACCTGGTCTATTGCATATACTGAAGCCCTTTCCAAGAAAATGGGGGCGGTGGGGTAGCCTAGTGGTTAAAGCGTTCGCTCGTCACGCCGGGTTCGATTCCCCACTTGGGTACAATTTGTGAAGCCCATTTCTGGTGTCCCCCGCCGTTCTATTGCTGAAATATTGCTAAGAACGGCGTACAACCATACACAGACAGTCAGTCCAACAAAATGCGTGATTTCATTTTGATTTTGTCGTATAAAGTAATATTGATTCTGATTTGGAACTGACAACAATTATGTTTTTCGCCAGATTCTGTTTTCATGGCATGGTAATGTTTATTTTTAAATGTGTTTGTTTGTTCGTTGTTAAATGCCGCACAACAGCAGTTTTCCAGCTGTATGACGGCAGCATCTAATTAAAGGTCTGGACCAGACAATCCAGTGATTTACATCATCTTCTCAATGGGGCTACCCGATCACGTTAATCGCCTACAACAAGCATGGGGTGCTGGAGATCAATTCTAACCAAGATCGTCAGGAGTTTTTGTAAGGTCGATATGCTCAAAGGACACCATTATGGGGTGTGCTGTACAATGTATGTGGTCTCGCGTAGATCAATGCTCATTCTGTTGATCGCTTGATTGTCTGGTCGAAACTCGATGATTTACATGCCGCCGCCATATAGCTGGGATATTGCTCAGTGCGGCATTAAACAATAAACCAACCAACCAACCATGGTGGATTGGAGTTCCATACCTCGTGCCACCTGCTTATGTGTGGTAATGTGGTCCCCTGACGATGTGTTGTTAATAAATCTGTCTGCCTCATTCTTTGCGTCCTCAACGTTGGAGTTCACCAGATTCATTTGCTTGTCATTGCATAATCGGGTCTGCCTTTAGAAGAGATTTCTTCTGGATGTGGAAAAGGGTTTGTTACATTTATTTGTCGACTATGTTCACATCCGACTAAAGCTAAAAAGTTGACTTATGTTGAGTTTGACATTATGGCTGATTAAATTCATGATTGTTCAATTTGACATTATCGTTGATTATATCCATGAATGTTCAATTTGACGTTATGGCTGATTAAATCCATGAATATTCAGTTTGACGTTATAGCTGATTAAATCCATGAATGTTCAATTTGACATTATGGCTCATTAAATCCATGATTGTTTGATCAATTTGACATTATGGCTGATTAAATCCATGAATGTTCAATTTGACATTATGGCTCATTAAATCCATGATTGTTTGATCAATTTGACATTATGGCTGATTAAATCCATGAATGTTCAATTTGACATTATGGCTGATTAAATCCATGATTGATTGATCAATTTGACATTATGGCTGATTAAATCCATGAATGAATGTGAATTTTAGCATTTTAAATCTGATTAAATTTGACGTGCCTGATTAAATCCACGAATGTTCAGTTTGACGTTATGCCTGATTAAATCCATGAATGTTCAATTTGACGTTATGCCTGATTAAATCCACGAATGTTCAGTTTGACGTTATGCCTGATTAAATCCACGAATGTTCAATTTGACGTTATGCCTGATTAAATCCACGAATGTCACATTGATGGCGTCATAATGGTTACAGTTATGACGTCAGACTGCTAATATCTCAGTCACATTGGTATTGGACCTTGCTTGACTTGCCGAAAGCTGAGAGTCATCACACTGTAGGTAGTTTCTATGAATCTATGTTGGAGAGTAATAAACAGAATACTAAAGTCGCTTCCGTGAAATACCATTTTATGAAACTCATGAAAGATTTAGTATCAAACTCGCTTTCGATCGTTTGATACCAAATCATTAACTCGTTTGATAAAAATGGTATTACACGGAAGGTCGTTTAGTATCCTCTATATATTTGTTGAAAATAATGTCTCCTCCCTGCATGGAACTTCTGTCTGCAGAGAGGACAAGTTACAGGGTATTGTTTGTTATCATCTTACCACACATGCTATTGCAAGAATAAGCCCGTGACTTCTTCGTATTCTGGGTGGGGATCACAAAACTGTGCCCAAACTATAAACAGCGCGAAATATAGAAATGTACCCATTGTAAAACAGTGTTTCAGCTGTGTGACATTATTTCGTTAAAGACCTGGTATGATGAAGAGGGATGAGGTTTATGTATAGACAACGTCTTTATTGCAATTGATGCTACGTTTCTATGTATATGACAGCACCGTTATCAAAGAGGGAACAAGTTATATTGTTTGACATCATTACAGCAATGGATAGACGTTTTCTGTGTGGGTGCTAATACCGTTCAAGATTAAGAATATTCTTTCGAGTCTTCTTGTAATTAATCTGACAAGCATTACCTTCATACAATACAAGTTTAAATATACCTATATGTTACACACACGTACTACTTTCGAGTCTTCTTGTCAATGTAATTAATATAAGCATTTCCTTCATGCAACACACGTTTAAATCTACCTACATACTCACACACACGTACTACTTTCGAGTCTTCTTGTCAATGTAAATAATATAAGCATTGCCCTCATGCAACACACGTTTAAATCTACCTATATATTTACACACACGTACTACTTTCGAGTCTTCTTGTCAATGTAAATAATATAAGCATTGCCCTCATGCAACACACGTTTAATCTACCTATGTATATCAATTACACACACGTTTAAATCTACTTTCACAGTCTTCTTGTCAATGTAAATAATATAAGCATTGCCCTCATGCAACACACGTTTAATCTACCTATATATTTACACACACGTACTACTTTCGAGTCTTCTTGTCAATGTAAATAATATAAGCATTGCCTTCATACAACATACCAAGTTGCTACCAATATGTTTAAATCTACCTGTATATTCACACACACCTACTACTTCGAGTCTTCTTGTCAATGTAATTAATATAAGCATTACCTTCATACAACACAAGTTTAAATCTACCTGTATATTCACACACACCTACTACTTCGAGTCTTCTTGTCAATGTAATTAATATGACAAGAGGTGCCCTCATGCAACACAGGTTCAAATCTACCTATATTTACATCACGTCCGAGAACTAAACATTCCAATGTATTTGTACTTGTAATTACCTACAGAATATCATGTTACTTGACCAGCTGTTCACAGCTACACACCAGTGAATAAATTATGACTGGCTGTCAATGCCAGTCACGTCTAAACTGTCTGTGAAGCAGAACAAACAGTTATAATATCGTGTTTCATTTGGTCGTCACTGTCGTTGTTGAAAACCAGCATGACAACATCAGGAAACAGCAAAGTCAGAGGTCACTGACTATTAAAGTCTCGAGGCTAGGTAATTATTCATAACTCTGGGAACATAACGCCGATTACAGTATAACTGACTGACTGAGTTTGGTTTTACGCCGCTTTTAGCAATATTCCAGCAACATCACGTCGGGGGACACCAGAAATGGGCTTCACATATTGTACCGATGTGGGGACTCGAACCCGGGTCTTCGGCGTGACGAGCTAACGCTTTAACCACTAGGCTACCCCACCGCCCCGATTACATCATAAACAACGCTATAATAATCAATGCCCTCATTCAAGGCACAGCCGACTCTATCTGTATGTAGATGTATATACATTGGGGAACCTGCTGATGTATTGTGTTTCTATAACCAGCGTATCTCGTCACTGGCAGCTACACAGCTTGTAGTATTTAAGACTGAATGTTAATTCAGAAGTTGTTACGTTTTATATAACTGAGGCAAACAAGACATGCCTAGAATTAAGTGTTACCACTTAACAGTTATGTTGGAACCTCGTTACAGTATCGTATTTCGGTTGGTGGTCGTAGTCCATGTAGGTTGTAGCACATACGGCAGTTAGGCTCTCGTGGCATACATACAGCAGTTACATCCCTTTGTTACCTGAAGAATGTGTGTTTATATAATAATATGTATGTGTGTGTGTGTGTGTGTGTGTGTGTGTGTGTGTGTGTGTGTGTGTGCGTAATAGTTAAAGCGCCGTTCGTTACGCTGATATACATCCCCACATAGCAATAAAAATGCAAATTGCTACAAGCGGCGTTAAACTATACTAACAAGTGATCTTTTCGGGTATATAAGCAATATATATGGATGTTGACATTATTGTTTATACATACTTATATATATTATATGTATATAAGTAGCTATATAAGCAATAAATAAGCAAATTGATGTTTATGAAGGATCATATTTATACAATATACTAATATACTAGTATATCATTTCCCTCCAACAATTTTATCTTCAGCGAGCAATTACTGTAGACGCATATGCTGATTATGTATACACGTCTTTCGTGCCTCATGTTCTGTTTGGAATACCAAATGCTGCCAATTGATTCGGGGCATGGACATAGCATCTATTTCCATTGATGAAGTCGTTGATGTAGAAGTGGTTGTGGAATGCGTCGAGAATGCATGACAGCACATTGTCACCCGAGGCAATAAATACAGAGACATCCCTTGAATACAAGCCGTCATACGTGTGCATTTTTGTATATGTGTGAGAACAGTTTGCTAAATGAATATTTACGAAGCATAGTGACATATTATGTTTGAAGCAAAATGAAATATTTATGAAGCCAAACAAACGTATTTGTAATGTAGCTATGTTGGGGTATAGTTCAGTTATTGTATATATTTCTGTCGTCGTTGTAGAAGCGGTAGGCTTTGACGTAGCTGGATGTTTATAACATTTTCGTCACGTGGCATCCTGTGACATCCCGTTGTTACGTGACACATGTGATCATATGTTGCGTATTTATTTGTGCCAATATACATTTTTATAGCGTCCTGTTACGTATGTGCATACATTTGAATCAATACATCATTTGTAGCTGGGGTTTCTTTTTCATTTTATTGCCTGTTTATTCGTCGCAGTTCAGTTCAGTTTGTCATAGGTATAGCAGTAATTATATTGCTTCACACATAAAAGTCGTTTTCTGATTGGCTGAGCGCTCTTCTATTATTTTCAATGTACCCCGCTTACAAGCGCGTAACATTTTCTACGTACCCTGCTTGGAATGCCGAACTCATTTGGTACTTCGTAGTAGTAATTCTTTATCTCGAATAACATTGAATAACGTATGATGTACGGAAATTACCGATAGTTTGCGAATGCAAATACATGGAAGGGAGATGACTCTAAATTTGTTTTTCTTCTCGTCTTGTCGCCTGGTACTCCATACTATGATCCGATACCCGTGCTTCAAACAGTTCAAAATTACCATTGAGGTGTTCGGTAAGATAAATACGTTGTTCACTGGTCCCTCGGGGCCCATGGGTTCAGGCTCAGGGAACATAAACAAACATCGAGGATACATCAGCCCATGTCCCCCTCGAGACCAGTGAACAACTTATAATGTCAAACTAATTTCAGGTTTTTTTATCTGTCGCAATGTATAGTACCTTTTTACGTCAATGCATGCTCAGTGACTTTGTGAGTGAGTGGGTTAATGGGTTTGATGCTACCTTGAACAGACGCACAGACCCAGACGGATTTTACTTTTGCCCCAGCCAGATTTGGCGTCTGGACCTCTGAACAGTACTTTCGGGCATAAAAATAAATCAACATTCATTGCGAATATTGAACTCGCAAAAACGACTGACCATAGACCGGTTAGGGGAAGCAACTCCTCTTAATCACTTGACTGCAAACTACATACATCATAAATATGTATGATATGCATTACCACCGTCAATACGTTTGTGTGCAATAAGTCTGTGTCTCAAAGGATCATTCACAGACCCTTGAACCGCTGAGGATGACAGGTTATTGTGGCAGTAACAGCTGTTGTATTTATAGCAGGTGTTACAGCAACATCAGTGTCTCTCTTAGCTGCAGCTGCCCCGATACAGGAGGATGCAGATGGACTGAACACGCCACGATACAGGAGGATGCAGATGGACTGAAGACGCCCTGATACAGGAGGATGCAGATGGACTGAAGACGCCCCGATACAGGAGGATGCAGATGGACTGAAGACGCCCCGATACAGGAGGATGCAGATGGACTGAAGACGCCCTGATACAGGAGGATGCAGATGGACTGAAGACGCCCCGATACAGGAGGATGCAGATGGACTGAAGACGCCCGATACAGGAGGATGCAGATGGACTGAAGACGCCCTGATACAGGAGGATGCAGATGGACTGAAGACGCCCCGATACAGGAGGATGCAGATGGACTGAAGACGCCCCGATACAGGAGGATGCAGATGGACTGAAGACGCCCCGATACAGGAGGATGCAGATGGACTGAAGACGCCCCGATACAGGAGGATGCAGATGGACTGAAGACGCCACGATACAGGAGGATGCAGATGGACTGAAGACGCCCTGATACAGGAGGATGCAGATGGACTGAAGACGCCCCGATACAGGAGGATGCAGATGGACTGAAGACGCCCCGATACAGGAGGATGCAGATGGACTGAAGACGCCCCGATACAGGAGGATGCAGATGGACTGAAGACGCCCCGATACAGGAGGATGCAGATGGACTGAAGACGCCACGATACAGGAGGATGCAGATGGACTGAAGACGCCCCCGATACAGGAGGATGCAGATGGACTGAAGACGCCCTGATACAAGAGGATGCAGATGGACTGAAGACACCCCGATACAGGAGGATGCAGATGGACTGAAGACGCCCTGATACAGGAGGATGCAGATGGACTGAAGACACCCTGATACAGGAGGATGCAGATGGACTGAAGACGCCCCGATACAAGGAGGATGCAGATGGACTGTAGACACCACGATACTGAGGATGCAGATGGACTGAAGACGCCCCGATACAGGAGGATGCAGATGGACTGAAGACGCCCCGATACAGGAGGATGCAGATGGACTGAAGACGCCCTGATACAGGAGGATGCAGATGGACTGAAGACGCCCCGATACAGGAGGATGCAGATGGACTGAAGACGCCCCGATACAGGAGGATGCAGATGGACTGAAGACGCCACGATACAGGAGGATGCAGATGGACTGAAGACGCCCCATACAGGAGGATGCAGATGGACTGAAGACGCCCCATACAGGAGGATGCAGATGGACTGAAGACGCCCCGATACAGGAGGATGCAGATGGACTGAAGACGCCACGATACAGGAGGATGCAGATTGACTGAAGACGCCCCGATACAGGAGGATGCAGATGGACTGAAGACGCCCTGATACAAGAGGATGCAGATGGACTGAAGACGCCCTGATACAAGAGGATGCAGATGGACTGAAGACACCCCGATACAGGAGGATGCAGATGGACTGAAGACGCCCTGATACAGGAGGATGCAGATGGACTGAAGACACCCCGATACAGGAGGATGCAGATGGACTGAAGACGCCCCGATACAGGAGGATGCAGATGGACTGTAGACACCACGATACTGGAGGATGCAGATGGACTGAAGACGCCCCGATACAGGAGGATGCAGATGGACTGAAGACGCCCCGATACAGGAAGATGCAGATGGACTGAAGACACCCCGATACAGGAGGATGCAGATGGACTGAAGACGCCCCGATACAGGAGGATGCAGATGGACTGAAGACACCCCGATACAGGAGGATGCAGATGGACTGAAGACGCCCTGATACAGGAGGATGCAGATGGACTGTAGACACCACGATACTGGAGGATGCAGATGGACTGAAGACGCCCCGATACAGGAGGATGCAGATGGACTGAAGACACCCCGATACAGGAGGATGCAGATGGACTGAAGACGCTTGATACAGGAGGATGCAGATGGACTGAAGACACCCCCGATACAGGAGGATGCAGATGGACTGAAGACGCCCCGATACAAGAGGATGCAGATGGACTGTAGACACCACGATACTGGAGGATGCAGATGGACTGAAGACGCCCCGATACAGGAGGATGCAGATGGACTGAAGACGCCATGACACAGGATGCAGATGGACTGAAGACGCCCCGATACAGGAGGATGCAGATGGACTGAAGACGCCCCGATACAGGAGGATGCAGATGGACTGAAGACGCCCCCATACAGGAGGATGCAGATGGACTGAAGACGCCACGATACAGGAGGATGCAGATGGACTGAAGACGCCACGATACAGGAGGATGCAGATGGACTGAAGACGCCCCCATACAGGAGGATGCAGATGGACTGAAGACGCCCCGATACAGGAGGATGCAGATGGACTGAAGACGCCACGATACAGGAGGATGCAGATTGACTGAAGACGCCCCGATACAGGAGGATGCAGATGGACTGAAGACGCCCCGATACAAGAAGGATGCAGATGGACTGAAGACGCCCTGATACAAGAGGATGCAGATGGACTGAAGACACCCCGATACAGGAGGATGCAGATGGACTGAAGACGCCCCGATACAGGAGGATGCAGATGGACTGAAGACACCCCGATACAGGAGGATGCAGATGGACTGAAGACGCCCCGATACAGGAGGATGCAGATGGACTGTAGACACCACGATACTGGAGGATGCAGATGGACTGAAGACGCCCTGATACAGGAGGATGCAGATGGACTGAAGACGCCCCGATACAGGAAGATGCAAGATGGACTGAAGACACCCCGATACAGGAGGATGCAGATGGACTGAAGACGCCCCGATACAGGAGGATGCAGATGGACTGAAAGACACCCCGATACAGGAGGATGCAGATGGACTGAAGACCCCCGATACAGGAGGATGCAGATGGACTGTAGACACCACGATACTGGAGGATGCAGATGGACTGAAGACGCCCCGATACAGGAGGATGCAGATGGACTGAAGACGCCATGACACAGGATGCAGATGGACTGAAGACGCCCCGATACAGGAGGATGCAGATGGACTGAAGACGCCCCGATACAGGAGGATGCAGATGGACTGAAGACGCCCCATACAGGAGGATGCAGATGGACTGAAGACGCCACGATACAGGAGGATGCAGATGGACTGAAGACGCCACGATACAGGAGGATGCAGATGGACTGAAGACGCCCCCCATACAGGAGGATGCAGATGGACTGAAGACGCCCCGATACAGGAGGATGCAGATGGACTGAAGACGCCACGATACAGGAGGATGCAGATTGACTGAAGACGCCCCGATACAGGAGGATGCAGATGGACTGAAGACGCCCTGATACAAGAGGATGCAGATGGACTGAAGACGCCCTGATACAAGAGGATGCAGATGGACTGAAGACACCCCCGATACAGGAGGATGCAGATGGACTGAAGACGCCCCGATACAGGAGGATGCAGATGGACTGAAGACGCCCTGATACAGGAGGATGCAGATGGACTGAAGACGCCCCGATACAGGAGGATGCAGATGGACTGAAGACGCCACGATACAGGAGGATGCAGATGGACTGAAGACGCCCCGATACAGGAGGATGCAGATGGACTGAAGACGCCTCGATACAAGAGGATGCAGATGGACTGAAGACGCCCCGGTACAGGAGGATGCAGATGGACTGAAGACGCCCCGATACAGGAGGATGCAGATGGACTGAAGACGCCCCGATACAGGAGGATGCAGATGGACTGAAGACGCCCCGATACAGTAGGATGCAGATGGACTGAAGACGCCCCTGACACAAAGGGTAGCTGTACTGCCTCGGTCTGTGGCATTCTCGCGGTTACAGTTCCGCTTCCTTTACTTGAGTCTATTACAAGCATGATAGGCAGACTGGATCAATGTGATAGCACGAACTGTTTATGGTCCTGAACTTTGTTAGGATGTGTTGCTTGTACCGAATTTGAATTCAGTGGCAATAGGACGATGATATATATCACCGTGAAAATCTGCTTAGTGTGTAAAATATATTTTTGGTAACAAATCAGGATCATCTTTTTCCTTTCCTTGTGTTTTTACAGCTGAGACAACCTTTACATACAAATCTGAAACGATTCAACAAAAATTAAAATCGAACAATTATCGAATTCAGAATCGATTCAGAGATACTCAAATGGTTTCTAACAGACAGTAAGAAAGTAAAATTGTTCACAACATTCTGAAAAATAATTAATTAAAATTTCTCACACAATTCTGATTTGTTCTCAAAGTCTGGTTACGGGAGCTGTATTATTAGTTGTTGTTTGTGATAGGTTCAACATCCAATTACACCCATGAAGATCCGGGTTATAATTGTCGTAGAAGGCGATTAACGGGATCGGGTGGTCAGGCTCGCTGACTTGGTTGACACATGTCATTGTGTCCGAATTGTGCTCTTTATGTTGATCACCTTCCACCTCAGCTGGAATATTGCTGAGTGTGGTGTTAAGTAACAAACAAACAAACAAACGTTCAACTGCTACATTTGATATGACTTCTAATACAGTTCAGGATAACAAAACAAATTTATCAATCTACTGACAGCATGACCCCACCAAAGTATGACGACATATTGCCATCATAGAGGTTGTGTGTCGACGACACCTCCACCCAAACCTCCTCCCCTTGCTGAGATGATCAACAGCAACAGCAGAACTATCAGCGACGTAAATATTGGAGTCCGTCGCCACGTACCCGCCTGCCATGGACACTCTCCCGGACTTCATGATGTACACGTTCATGTTGGTGTTGGACTCGACCATCTCCAGCTTGGTCCAGAACATGTAGGTTCCAGACTCCGGCGCTGAGAACCTTCCCGTGGTGGTGTTAAAGGCAGATCCGGCGTTGTACAGGGTCTTAATGAATGTCAGGGCAGTGAATGCAGGTGTCTTGCTTGTTGGGCTGGAAACTTGGAATGCCACGTTTCTGGTCTTTGATGCTGAGGTAAAACAAATGAATGAATTATTAAAAGAAAGAGCTGAAGACGCCCCTGGCACAGGAGGATGCAGCTGTATTGAAGACGTCCCTGATACAGTGAGTTTAGTTTTACGCCGCTTTTAGCAATATTCCAGCAATGTCACGGCGGGGGACCATAAATTAGCTTCACACATTGTACCCATGTGGGGAATCGAACCCAGGCCTTCGACGTGACGAGCGAACGCTTTAACCACTAGGCTACCCTAGTTTATATCACATCAGCAATATTTCGAGGAAATAGATAGGGAACAGTTGATGAACGAGCTGCCTTAGACGTCACAATGCATTCTGCAGAGTTGCGTCCCTTAGATGGGTCAGAAACCTATGACTGGTTAGTTTGACTAATCTATGTGCCTTTGTTTCTGGGGTTGTCAGCAGCCCGAGTGATAGTAAATGTCCAATGTGTTTTCGTATTAGTTCCAGCTCTGTCGTTTTGAAAGATGACGTCGAGTGAGTGAGTTTAGTTTTGTGCCGCTTTTAGCAATATTCCAGCAATATCATGGCCGGGGACACCAGATATGGGCTTCACACATTGTACCCATGTGTGGAATAGAACCCGTGTCTTCGGCGTGACGAGCGAACGCTTTAACCACTAGGCTTCCCCTTCACCCCAGATGACGTCGAGGTGGCCTTATAATAACACCTCTACCGGGCTCTGAAACCTACTTCACAAATATGGCAGTGATGGCTATATATAGTGAGTCCTTATTCATAACCTTGTATTTCTGCTGACGTCATCCGTGGTATTCAAGGCTGATGTTATTTATCGTATGTGTGTATTATTACACCTCGCTGGGTATGCCAGCCGCGGTAGCCATATGTTCTTGCTCCTCAAAACACAAAATATGACCAGGTCTAGTGAATTGTGGGGCACAAAATATACATGTCACTATCTTTCCGGGGGTTGTTTTTGCGATGATATCGGTTTTTTACCTCCATGTAACCCTTACACTTAAGTAAAACGTAGTAACATGGAAATTACCCTTTGAACGTATGAAGTTAATGTTGCTTCTTCCATATATGCTTCGCTTAATTCGTTTTTGACATGCTCTATTATTCTTACAAACTGCATATTTGTCTCTGAAAAGTCTTTCTCCTCTGAAATTAACGTACTGTGGGAGATCAAGTTTGACCTTGTTGCTCTTTATGATAATATTTACACAGGCCTTATTCTCAGAAATTATGTGAATACCATTGGTGATAGCAACATTTGCACTATGGCAGTCCGCTTTATAATCTGCTGACTAATGAGCTCTTTCATGCTCTGTCGAGCTTCTTTAGTTTGATGTCAAATGATTTAGCTGGCTTTTTATCCAATCAGGTGTCTACGCTGGGAAGTTGAGCGTACATATCACAAGGCTTCTACCACAACTCACTTCCGCTTCTTTTATCTAACCGATTAAACTTGGCAACACAATTGTTGCAGAGGTACCCTGAAAGAGGTAAAAGAGTTCTTGCATATTTTTTTTAGGATTTCAGACCTGTCAATAATTTGTCTGTATACGATTTTTCCACTAAATATGAGTCACACAGCGAGCAAACCTTCGCAGCTGCGGCCGTCATCTTTGTTAACGCTGGCAAGCTCGGTTGTACTTGTTTATCTGATTGTCTACTGTAACAAGGCGGAGCCATCAACGGGAGGTAATACAATTATCGGACCGAGCCGTATATGCATCCAGAGTACTAGTGGAGATTTATCGAACGTATACCCTGGAGACTATCGAGGATGAACAATAAGGTTACAAACCTCATTTGTCCTAACGAAGCTTTATGTTGTACTGCATAGATTCTATCGAGAACCTTTCAATGCATCTGAGATAATAAACTCTACACACAGTTCCAGACTACGACTCAGTCTGGCATAAAAATCAAATATGTCAGTGTGAGATAACTCATATCATATACTATCAGTCTCTACAAAGTGCACACGAAAAACATTGAATATCAAACAATATCTTCAGCTTGACGAGCGGAAGCTTTCACCATTAGGCTACCCCGCATCTCAGATAACAACCATAGACACAGTTCTAGACTACATCTCAGTTTTCCACGCAAAGTTTCTTGCCGATAATTTAGAATAATATGTCATATCATATACTGTCAGTCTCTACAAAGTGCACAGGAAAAACATTGAATATCAAACAATATGCTTAGCGGTAACTTACCAAGTGCCGCCACCAACTTCTTATTGTCCTCAGATTGTGTTTTGACAGCGGCCAGGTCAGCTGACAAAGTCTCCAGGCTGATATTCGTCGTGTGAACATCCGCCAACAACTTCAGATCTTGTTTAACCTTTGCCAAAGACTGCTTGTTATCCTGGGACTGGTTCTTCACAGCGGACAGGTCACCTCTCAAAGTCGTGACGTCAGTACTCGTTGAGATGAAATTATTCTGTGTCAGAAGCAGACCTGCAGATGTTGAGTTCAGTTCCAGTTCCAGCCTCATCAGTTGTTGCGATGTACTTTGTGTCAGCGTCTTTGTCGACTGGAGTTCGGCTTGTTGCTGTGTTATAAGCTGGATAGCTGATGACGTATTCTGGATACATCTGTCTGTCTCTCTCTTTACATCATCAACAGTAGCGTTTACTAGACTGAGTTGTTTGCCCAACATATTGACGTCCGTCTGAAATGCATTTACCTGTGCCGTGTTCATCTTGACGTCGTGGCTGATCCAATCCAAGATTGTTAAGTTCAACTGATTATTAGTGTTACTGGTAATCCGTTTCATGTCATTCATTTCTGATTTCAACACAGCGATATCATTGGAGGATAGCTTCAGTTCTGCTTTTAGGGAATCCACTTCCTTTGTCAAAGTCGCAATTTGAGCAGCTGATTGTGCCTTGCTGACCTGTAGATCTGTTTGTAACTGTCCAGTGGTTTTCTGAAGAGTGGTCACAGTCTGTTCAAGGAGGGTAACGTGACTCAGAGAGGCTTGAGACATCTGTACTACCATCTGGCTTTTTATGGGCAGAATCAACCCAGAAATAGACCCACATAGTAAAACACATAGCGACAGAACGGCGAGGTACATTATGCGTGTGAGTTGGTTGGTGTTTTAGCAGGCTGTTTTTTTATCTCCAGGAGCTTGGTCAGGTGGGAAACGTTCACCTGCTACAACTGTACGAGATTTCTGGCACTCCTATCAGTATTGCACATCACAGATACAATGGTGTCACACAGTATAGTTTTATCTCAATTCATTTAGTTTCACAGTGAATAAATGGCCCATATTTTCTGTGAGTGAGTGAGTTTGGTTTTACACCCCTTTTAGCAATACTCCAGCAATATCACGGCGGGGGACACCAGAAATGGGCTTCACACAAAGTACCATGTGGGGAATCGAACCCGGACCTTCGGCGTGACGAGCGAACGCTTCAATCCCTGGGCTACCCCACCGCGCTATATTTTGGGGGAGGACAGTACACTACAGTTATAACGAACTAACGACTAATTTTACTTCGTTAGCACAGTAATTCATTAAAAGCAGTTTCACTAAAATACACAGCAAGTGGACGGGACAAAGAGAAATGTTACATCGGTCAGTTCGTCATAAGTGTGTTCGCCTTTTCCATTATGATTTCATATCGCGCTTAATGTGCACACAATAAAATATGTGATTAAAGAAAACACATGAATGATATCTGGAACTTCACCAATAAAATCAAAACCAACCATATTTTTGTGGAAAATACAAACTTCATAAGGAGTCTGAATTGGGATTCCTATTTGAATTTCCATAAGAGACACCCAGATACTTAGCATTATGCTTCAGCATTATTCCACGCGGATGCAGAATAAATGCATGTAGGACCATGCCTCATCAAATATATACATTCAGTAACATCACCCCAGTTCAAATGCGTATAAAACAGTCTGGACTATTGTCTGACGCTGATTCCAGGGAGCGTTAAGAACAAACATTATTTCATTGATCATCGAGTGAGTGGGTGAGTTTAGTTTTACGTCGCTTTTAGCAATATTCCAGCAATATCACGGCGGAGGATACCAGAAATGGGCTTCACACATTGTAACCTAGACTAAGGCTTAGTCTACGAATATATATAATTTTGATAGTAACAAACAAGCCCATTTATATTGAAAAGGAGCCCCAGGGAGACCAGAGATTCAGAACCTGAGGAAATCTAGGCTTGCATTATTTAGGGCTTTAGCACTGCAGAGAGGGCTTGGCAGTAGGGGAATTAATGTGGTTCAGGGACGGTGAGACAGACTAATTGTACCCATGTGGGGAATCGAACCCGAACCTTTGTCGAACGCTTCAACCACTGGACTACCCCACCGCCCCCATTGATCATCGAAAAGCAGTGACGACAACAGGTATTAGCATTCATGCCATGTCATACCGGTAGCTCCAGCTTTTGTTTCCTCAACTCGTACAGAAGTATTCCTGTGAATCAACGTCGATCTGTAAACAAAGCATATAGTCTGTTTGCAGTGAAAACATACCGATGAATTTCACTTTAAACAAAAACTAAATCAAGTTATGTGAAATTAAGATTGCGAATCCTCATTATTTTACCTTGCCAAATGAACATTTTAACCTCAGAATTTTATTCAACTTAGGATAAAAGTTGTTTAACAAACGATCATAATTCAAATCGCTATTATTGGTTTGTATTACAAGGGGGTGAGCGCAGTAGATGGAACAGTGAAATAAATGCACGTGCGGTATGTGATGAGCGTTAACTAAAACCAACCCTACTTGTTCTCGGTGTTTCATTTAAAGTGCATACCCCTTTGTAATGCAAACCAATAATGGCGATTTCAAACTATGATCGTTTGTTAAACATCTTTTATCCTAAGTTGAATAAAATTCTGAGATTTGAATGTTCAATTGGCAGGGTAAAATTATGAGAATTCATAATCTTAATTTCACTTTATTCGATTAACCTTTTTGTTTAGAGTGAAATTCATCGGTACTATAATTGATAAATATTCTGAAGCACTGACAGTAGGTGGCAGCAAATGAATGAAGCGTTCGTTAAATTCAAATGGCCTCCCTTTGCTCTGTTAGCTCTGTTCCAATTATGTTACCTCTCCAAGGTGGAATTACCCAATTCGTGGATTGTCTGTAACAGTTTCTATATCAGAGGGACTTGAATGCGATGCGAAGCCATTTGCCATCTGACTGGAATCCTAAATTCCTGAGCAACGGAATCAACAATTTCTCAACATTCGTGTTTTGTTTGTTTATATATTGGTTTACGCCGCAAGCAACAATATTCCAGCTATATGGCGGTGGTCTGTAAATAATCGAGTCTATACCAGACAACCCAAAGATCAGCAGCATGAGTACCAATCTACGCAATTGGGATGGGATGACATGTGTCAACCAAGTAAGCGAGTCTGAACACCCGATCCCGTTAATCGCCTCTTACGACAAGCATGGGCTGCTGAAGACCAATTCGTCACAGGTTCGACGTTCGTGAGTTCACTGAAGGGCATTTATATTTTGCTGCTGCCACATATCTGACTCCTGTATTGCCTATTGACTTTTGTAAACCTAATCATTTATAAGTAAAATTTTGATATGTTTTTCTTTTGTTAGCATACTCTTAAAAACCTGAAATTTCAATTTGGATAGGAAGTATAAGCGTCAACAAACGTTTCAAGGACAGACATCTTATGAACGCACCACCATTTCTCTTATCACGACCCCTAAACACAACGCATGGGATGCACGTGCACAATGCAGTAGCCCCATACACGTGCATGGGGTGTCATTCTTGATTTTGACGGTTTTCAAGGTCGATAAGTCACTGTAGACCATTAATTTTGTCAATCATCTTGCATCACACAGTTGTTAGTGTTTGTTTCTAGCCGTTGTTTGTTTTAAAATGAAAACCGTCCACATACAAATTCCCCGTCATACACCAATCATCTTTGGCGTCTCATCTTTCAAGAGCGATTACTGTACAAACAACTATGGTCATAAGGAAGTACAAGTGGTGATGCACTCTCCAAACATTCATAATTATCATATCAACATTGATTGACTCTGATATATATCCCGATTCTTTTCAATCGCAAATTAAAAATGAAGTTCACCTACTTTTTTAAAGAGTACATTTGAATAATCGGGTGCAGTTGTCTTCTAATTTCACAGTTTAGTTGAGCTCGCGATACCGTCTTGGTTAACTAACTTACGCGTTTCATAATCACCAGGCAGAAAACACTGGATGGTTATGCTTTGTCCTCTTCCTTTGTGTTTTGTCAACAAGATGGATTACGTTGTCATGGAGACATATAACATTATCGATCATATTGCGATGGCATAACCTTTCCGATTAGCATTTGGTATGTTACAGCTGTTTGAGTAACCCTCTCAAACTGAGTACGAGATGAAATTAACGTTAATTAAGACTTCAGCTCCAAAGGGATTTTCTAAGTATTGTGTACTCAAAAACTACGATGTATACCGTACTTAGACGCACACTACCCTAATTGACAAACGCGAAAGAAAACATTTTAACGTTTGCGAAAAATAACTAATTATAATATTAATATTGTTGATGGGAATGTACTGCTGGATGGTACAGCGATGGGAGTAAACCTGGTGAAGTCCTTCACCACGTGTGCCCAGAGTCTGTCATTTGTGGAGAAGCTTTCAGAGAAACCCTTGCATCGTGTGTACATGCAGTGTGTGGAACAGAATAGCAATCCAACCGACTCCTTCGCCTGGATGAAATCTGCTTGTCTAAAATGTGAAACTGAGGGCTTTCTTTTTTGCTGCTCAAGACCAGTCACTTCCCACTCGCAACCGCCAAAATATCAATATGAAATGTCGACTTTGTAATGAATTCACAGAGACTGTCCAACACCTTGTCAGTGGATGCCCTTCCTTGGCACAAAAAGCATATCTTAAAAGACATGATGGCATGACTCGCTGCTTTTATTACCGTCTCCGCCATGCCTGTGGATTTGACTCCGAGGTCCATCCTTGGTACGACCCTGAGTATGTTCGGGCGTCATGGAAAATGATGCTTTCAAACTTCTGTGGAATAGGCCCATATACAGCCTTTGAAATGTCTCGCTTGCATCCCAAGTACACTGTCGCCAGACTCCCCATTGTTCTGGGTGCCCTTGTTTTGGTACCTCCTGATCTCTTGGCGCAGATCAGGAGAGTGCCCGGGTTCTCCACCGGGAGCACAACCCTTCTGACACTCTGGGTAATGCAGAAGGCTGCAGTGTTGGGGAGCCTTCATATTCTCCGGACAGTTCTTGGTGGGTTCGACTAGGCAGCGTTTCCTGGGAGAAGTCCCATTCGCTGTCTGGGCTGCGTGTAGAGGGGGCAAGGGCCCTGAGCTGATGATGAGCCTTACCAGCCTGACTGTGCCAGGATCACCCGAACACTGTCTGCGGCATTTTCATCTTAATCGATAAAACATAAAAATAATAATGGTACATTTATCGAAGCACCCAAACAATCTGATTATTTTTGCCCCGGATAACTCAAGATGCCTGTTAGGCGCTAGAGGGTTATAGTCACATGACTTTATCCCACCGGGTACCCATTTTTCTGCTGGGTGAACAGAGGCAATATGGAACAACCTCACTGCGTCGAGAGAATTGTTTGTTTTGTTAGTTACTTTGCTCGCTTGCTTTTCGTTTAACGCGGACTCGGTATCCGCCCAGCTACATGGGATACGATGACATGCATCGGCCAACACAGCAATTCGCACATCGGGATTTGTGAACATACTACAAAACATATACCGAAAGCAGATAAATCAGCTTTTAAGAGGTAAATATTTATTGATTCTGTACCATCTCGAGACCATCTTTGATTTTCAGTTGGCAAATGCGTTTTCTTGAATAGATCGGCTAAGGAGATATTTCATGCGTATTTTGTTTCAACGATTGTTCGATGATCTAAGTACCTGCCAGTCAAATCCCACTGAACACCACAAGAAGTGCCGTGTCGCCGTTCCTCTCTGAAATGCCACCATTTGGAAAAGAACTCTTTAATTGAGTGAGTGAGTGAATGAGTGAGTGAGTGAATTTGGTTTTACGCCGCTTTAAGCAATATTCCAGCAATATCACGACGGGGGATACTAGAAATGGGCTTCACACATGATACCCACGTGGC